CCATGAATAATCTGACGCAATCGCTGAGAACTATTCGTCTTATCAAGAGGTACACGAGGATGTAACAAAAGACCTGCCTCAAGAACCTTCAATGATCTCTTAAGCCAAGCATCATATTCTTGCTGATCCGTAAAATCAGAAGACTTTAGCTGCTGTAACAATTCTAAAGGAAGAACCACTGACTCAATCTTCCTTCCAACCTGAAAACAAACAACTTAATTAAAGCCGGGAACTTTCGTAGCAATGGACCCTCTAACAGTTATTACTAAGACGCAAATGTCACAACACTCTCTTATCCAGAATAGTACCCAATTTAAGCAATTTAAGATCTATCCCAGATAAGTCAATGGCTACATCTATATCACAAGATCATGAAATTGAACATGTATTCTAATCAGAACTAATCCATCTCACTAGTAGATCCCTCATGATCAAGCCAAAATTCAGCTCGATGGGATCACAAAGATCCAGCGAGAAGGAAATGCAATAGTAAAATTGAGCTAACCTGACTAGCAGCGATTCTAAGAAAAGCTCTACGAACACGAGAATCAACAGCCTCCGATACTCGCATTTGGATCCGCATAAGCTCACCGACAGTAGTAGGACGCTTCGACTTACCATTCGAACCCGAAGCAGAACCCGAACCCGAACCAGGACTCTTATTAGATCCAGGTGAAAGCGAAGAAGACGACCTTAACCCCAAAGCCTTCTTCATCTTACTAGCGGCGGTTGAGGTCAGAGAACGCTGAATCGCCGGGGAGGCAGGTGAGCCATTGGGAGAATCCGGATTCGAAACAGCGACTGAAACAGCCGATGAGAGAGGTTTCCCGGTGGCGCTACGACATGCGGCGACGAAGATCTCGTAAGCAGTGAGACGGAGATCGGAATCGGAAAGTTGAACAGCGAGTTGTCCGAGTGGAGATGGAGGTAGATCGGAAGACATTGAAGAAGAACGTGAAGTCGCCGATTGTGACGGCGGCGGCGGCGTAGACTCTCTCTTGGAGTGACCCAGAGACAGCTCTCTGAAGAGATGAGCCATTTTTGCGTGTGAGAGCAGCGAAAGAGAGAGAGAGAGAGAAGAGAACAAAAACAGCTTTTTAATACAGTTACTTAAAATAATTTAAGAAATGGCATTTTCGTAGTTTTCTTTAATTATTGGTTTATTAGTGTTATTATTTTAAGGAATTTTTCAATAAGCGTTAGTTAGTGATGTTTACCATCTATAAATAATTATCGATTAAATCAAGGGAACGAGTGAATTAGGTAACTATGTAAGAAAAAAAATAAAAGAGACGTAAAAATTTATTATTAATTGCTATTAAATAGTGGGTTTCATCTAGTACTGAGTATTCAGGTTTTGGGTTTTAGAAATTTAGATTCTATTCGGATATTTTAAATTTTGGTTTGGTTTCTGTTCGTTTCTTTTTGAGTCAGGTTGATTTGGGTGTTTGTGTTGAGAACCAAAAAATACTGAAATTTGTTTGGAAGTGGTTCGAATTGGTTCTTTTTTACCCGAATTTACCCAATTGTAACAAAAATAAAAAACAAAATATCCAAAATAATGATAATTGTATAGCCATCTATATCCAAATTACCCAAAAATATCTAAAAATAGGTATATAAGTATATAACTAATATTGGGTATATACTTATATTTTTTATATATCTAAGTACCTATTTGGTTCCCGGTTTGGTTCGGATTAGATACCGGTTCTTCGGATATAGGAGTCTAGGTTCCGTTTGTGTATTTATACCAATTTTGGTTCTGTTCGGAATGTTCTAATTAGGATCGGTTTGGGTTACTTTTTGGGTCCTAATAGTCTCATATCACTTAGTGTTATAAAATAAAAACGTAACTTTTTTGGTAATATATAATTTTTTCAATATTATATTTTTATGTTAACGACTAATTTTCACATAGTATTTTTTTAAAACAAAAATTGTTTAAAATTTTTCCTTAAAAAATTAAAAGAACTATTTAAAATTATAAGGTTTAAAACTACATGTTACGGAAAAATAATATGTTAATTTATTTGAGCTAATTATCTTAAAATAATTAAGTCATATCATTGTTCTTTTTTAATATCACATTATTTATTCTTGTTTTAGCCAATTACACATCCAAAATATACTCCCTAATTTTTATTTTTTTGGTGAATTTTATCCCTAATTTTTATGGAAGTCCAGTAGTACTATTTGTATGATATGTATGGATTAATTCAATTATCTAAAATCCTACAACAAGAAAAAAAAAATTGATTGTCGTTAAAAATTAAAGTAACAAACATAATTGACCGATTAGAATAATTAGAAAAATAAAGTGGGAAAGGGACCTGGCGCATAAGAGACGAACAGCTTGGAGACGGTCGCACGCTCATGTCTCATGATCCCTTTTTTGTGGACAAATGGACCGCATATATAAATCTATATATACATTTTCGAAATATAAATATAAAATATATTTTTGAGTTGGCACTTATTTACAAGAAAATATCATTATCATAAATGTTTATTTATTAATTAATATTATAAATTATTTTCGAGAAAATCATATAGAAATCGTGACTTTCAAATATGGTAACAAATTGATTTTGTTTATAAATTCGATTAATTGTTAATTTCTTAAAAATTCTCTACCTAATTTAAACATTAATGTATGATTCTTCTTTTATTTTTATTTTGAATTTATATAAAATACATATAATTAATAAAATAATATTTTTTCTTCATATAATGTTATTGAAATTTTTTTAAACGGACATATATTACTTAATCGATGAAGAAAAATATTTGTACAATATCCCACATTGCTGAAAAAAAATGGGCAATGGTTTAGAGTTATGCTATAAAAAAGACCAAAATGATTCTAAATACAAATGAACAGGAAGCTTGATTTATCAAGCATCCAAAATTAAAATTATTATCCGCTTTACTCCGGTTCTATATTTTAAGGACTTGAAACTTTAAAAAATTCAAAACATTATAAATCTTAAACTTTATTAAAAGTTAAACTTTATAAAATGTTTTTAATATTTATAAAACTAAAAGTTTTGTGAAGTTTCAAATATTCTAAATATTTGAACTTTATAAGAATTTATAAGAAGTTTAAACATTATAAATATTTAAGTTCTATAAAAAAATTTAATAATATTTGAACTCTATAACAATTAAAACATATATATATATATATATATATATATATATATATATATATGTATATTGTGGGAACTATTTAAAGCAAACTTTTAAATTGACTCAAATTATATGTCTTTTAAGATGGACAATGTTTGGATCCGGCAGCCACACATGTTGAGGTGGAGGAAGCCCGAACGAATGAAGAAGATGATAGGGAACCATCTCCAATTCGGAATGTTGAGGAAGTCCGAACGAATAAAAAAGATGAGAGGGAGATCGCTCCGGTTGGTATGGCGAGGGAGATAGTGTGGAAGTCGTAACGAGTGAAGAAGAAGATGAGAGCGAGCGATCTCCAGTTGGTAATGGTGAGGGAGATGATGACGAAGTTAGACCGATTGAAAAGGTAGAACTAGGGAAAACTAATTGGTTTTGGTTAGGAAGAGAATCGTGATATTTTTTCTATTGATGGCATTTCGAATTTTAATTTATGAGTTTTATGTAAGACTGGTAAAAATAGGTACAACTAGTAATTATTTGTAATATTGGTAATACTTGTAAAACTGTTTGCCACAGGATACCGAAGAGGAACCGATAGCAACACTACAACCTCTGAGAATGCACTTCCCGCCGGCGGAGTATAACAAGAGAATAATATTATCGACTAGGAGTTATATCCATGAAGTTTTGAAAACAATATCTAATTTGAATCATCCGCTCACCAATGTTGAGAGGAATTGGTTTGAGAACCATCCGCACTTTAAACACATTTTTTCACATGCCAAAGGACATAAACCACAATGTTCCGGGCATGTGGATTCTTCTTCTTCGAACGAAAAAAAAGAAGAGGCTTGGTTTGTCGTAAATGGCGCTCCCATTCACTATGGAATAGAGGAACACACCTTGATATCGAGATTAGACTGCCACAACTATCCACTTGATTATAATAAAGCATGAAGTATGAACCTTGTGAATAGGTATTTTAAGATGGAGGTAATTATACGTGAGTGAAACAAAAGTTACTGGAAATGGTACCAACAAAACGTTCTAGAGATAGGTTGAAGTTTGAAGCCATCTACTTCTTATCCAGCATTGTTGTAGTGCTGACAAATACTAGGGTAAATGCAACTGTCGTAGATGATTTATTTCAATATACAGTGAATGATCTAAAATTTTGTAAAAACTTTCCTTGGGGGAGATATTCATTTGATCACATGCTAGGATCAATCTCACAAACGATGGATAATTTTGGAGGGATCGTTAAGGAGGGTGTAATATGGCAGGTTCCAGGTTTCTGTTTGGAATATGTAAAAATTAATTGAGGTTTTGGTCATTGTTAATAGTTATTGTACCTATAATATAAGCTTACTCTAACTATATTAATTGTTGTGTAGCTTTTAGCATTTGAGGTAATTCCGGAATTTGGGAATAAATTCCTAGAAGAAGTTCTAGACGCAAACTTAGAATGTTCTAGGATGTACAAGACAAGGTTCAAAAAATGTGAAATGAAAGGGTTTCCTCTTTTAAAAATAAATGAAGAACTTGGTATAACTAAGGTTAGTTATCATATGCATATGAATTATTTTGATTTGTTATTTTCTTAATCTTTTTTTCATTGTTTACATCCAAAGAAAATTGATAATATCCTCGAAGCTCGAGATGAAGAAACCTCTATTCTGGCTAGAATCACAGAAAAAGACGACCACAATGATAAGCATGATGTCGTTGTTGAGAGTTGGATGAAGTGTATTCATAAAGGATATATTGTATTGTTTGAAGAGATGTATCACCGAGATGTGGTTTCTCGAGTAGGAGAGGAACCTAAGAATTTGGTGAACGAAAAAATAGTAGTCAATGAAGGACCGAGAATCAACCTTTCAGCTGACTTGGTGGATCTCGTAAATAACTTGAGCAAAAATATGATAGAATGAATGGTTAAAATTGAGGACAAGCTTGGTGAGTTTTAGAAAAGAGTCGTACTGTTTGGAAGCTTATGTGAAGAAGCAATTAGTGGGGTGAAGACTATATCTTATAAAACATAAATAAGTCATGCAAAACATAGAATGATAAGACTTACAAAACAACACATAGATTGATAAGCCTTACAAAACAAAACATAAATATATCAAGGCCGAAAAATCCTTCGGCCCACAAGACCTACCACTAACTCCTTCAGATGTGCAATCTCTTCACCATTGTTTTTCAGCTCCGAACGCATTTATTGTATCTGAAAATCATGGTGTGCGAAGCTTCGAATCTTCATGTACTGCTCATCAACCTCTTTCTTTAACCTAGTCACCTCTTTTCGATAGCGTTATCCCAATTTTTTCCGAAGGTGAAAGCCATCATTCTATACAAAAAGACATATAGTATCACATATTCTAAAATCGATGCTATTAATCCAAAATCAACGCCTTTATTCAAAAATCACCTTAAACACATTGCATTTAAAGTAGAGATGTTAATATGGGTAAACCCACCCTATTTTGACCCATCCCATTTAGTGTAAAGCCATGTAACTCCATTTAAGTTTACACCCCATTTATTTTCCCAATTTAAATTCATTTATGTTTTTTTGGCCTATTTAAACTCATTTAGATGGGAAAACAGCCAAAATCAACCCCAACTATTTCCACGCGGCTTTTTCAACCTAAACTCTGACCCCCTGTACTTATCAACCGGAACCAACTTAAATTTCAAATAACAAATATGAACTATGTAACCGTTAGCCAATTTCAAACTATGAAATTGTCTAACGGTTACATAGTTCATGTTTGTTATTTGAAATTTTATGTGAGTTTAGGTTGATAAGTACATGAGGTCAGAATTTGCTTTGAAAAATGCCACATGCAAATAGTTAGGGTTGATATTGGACGTTTTCCCAATGTTTTGTGTACATTGGTGTAGTTTGAAGATTAGGTACTTTTCTGGTTTTTGTTATTTTTGTTTACTATCGTTGTATTGTTTCGGTACAATGGTGTGTTGGTCTTTCGTCTTTTTGTTGTGTATTCAAACTTTGGTAGTCTTTTGTCTTGGTTGTGAATTCAAACGTATTCCAGTTATTTTTTGTAATCTTATATGTGGTACTACTGAAACATATGAGATACAATTCTAGAAGAGTTTACCTCATAAATTGATGATATTTGTCCCAAATTATATGCTTATATTGGGCTTCTTTACGTTATTTATATGAAGATAGAACTTTTGAAGAGTATGCTACTGTTATACCAAACTAATGTCAAATAATCGTCTGCGAGAGCTTTGCTACTATATATCAATGTTGAAAGGCAAACCTTGGATCTTTATCGTCTACGTACACTTTGCTGAAACGCTGCAAAAACATACGGGTAGCACTGGTATTTAGAAAATAGTGTATCATTCCTACAAATTTCCTTTTAAGTGTACCACAATTCAAATTAATATTCAAAAACGTTCTAACGAATTTCTTATATGAAATAATATACTCTATAAAAATTAAAATGATCGATAGACATTAAGTAATGGTGATGCAAATTTTGAGAAGATGTGTTTAACAATAATTTGAACTAAACAAGTTTGATTTTTATCATCCATAATGGATCTAATGATTTTTAAGATGTTGTAGCTACTAAAGATATTGATTGATTCCTATGATGAATCAAACAATCAAAGAAACACTTCTAATGATAATGAAATTGATGATAATTATAATGGTTCACAAAAACATTGTGAATAGAAATCATGATTACAACGATAAAAGTCGAAAACAATTTGTAGAAGAAGCGCGAGTATAAAACAACATGGTAAGTTTTATTGATGAAGAGAAGAATTGTAATTATCTTGATATATTTTTTTAACTCATATTGAGAAAAAGAGAAATATGTAAGGTATAAACGTGGTAGTAGTAATATGTAAGAGAATCTATAGATAGTTTTTTTGTTTGTTAACATTGTGTTTGTGTTTATGTCTAAATATACTTCCAAAACGAATTTCAAAAATTCTGAAAATGTCATAGTCTCGAGTACCTGATTGCAATGATGCTTCGGTTTCTAAATACGCTATACGAAACTCATAAGCAAGAGACTAAAATTGAGGCAAAGATTCATAGTATGAATCTCCACTATTAAGTCATGGTTTATGTTCATTCGAGAGATTTTTGCTAACATATATCATATATATGACAAGTTTCTATAGAGAATCACTTTCCTCTTAAATTAAGACAACATGTACTAGCTCCATTGATGAAGGCGTAAACTGGTAAGCAAACTTAAGTTGTCTAAGACAGAGTTAGAATCTTTCAGTTCAGTTTAATTGATCTTACTGAAAACCATCATTTGTTGGCAACCATGTGATTTTGCTAGACTTTGGAAAGTATAAATGAGTTGACTTGGCGATTACTTTTAATCATAAATTTACTGCTCTATTGTATATAAAGAAAACTTTGATATGGTGAAATTGGAAAGTATAATCACACATGTACCTCCTTGACGGCTGATGTTCTTTATAATTATGTGCGATTTCGTCCGGATGATATTAAAGTCATTACATAATTTCGTTTACCAACAACATACGACCAATATATAGAAAAATATCTCATTGATGTTTTGGCAGAGTCCGACATCACTAATCACATATTCATTGCACAACATTATCCGATGTGGTCTTTTTAGTTAAGAGGAAACTAATGAAGATTAAAGATAAAGACGTTACTCGCAAGATTTATGGCACCTTGTGGAAGTGGAGGTTTTTTTCGACATCAAAAATTAAAGACATAAGCAATGTGTTGATTGGATTAATTCAAAAAATGAATATATTGACTATAAATAGTTATCGCGCCGCTTGATATAATCAAAAAATAAATATATTGATTATTATAATATTATTTAAATTTGAAAATATAATTTATATACTCGCATATATTATCATTTATCTTTTAGTTTAAAACAAAATTAGGTATTTAAATTTATATATTTGAAATATTAGTAGATTCAAGTCCACCAAAAAGCTATGAACATAATATACACACACACACACACACCTATATATATATATATATATATATATATATATTCATGATTTTATATTTTTAAATTTCAAAATTATTATTTATAACTTCATTAGGCTCTTAGTTTTATATTATGACTACAATATCATTATTCATTTATGTCAAATTTAAGTTATTATAATAATTTTATAATAAATAATTTAATTTATAAAATGTAAATAGTCGTTTTAAGATTTCTTAAATTAAATGTAGTGTTACAATTGAAAATTGTGGTGATAATCACCTATGTAAACAATATTCTCCAACATTGGATTGTTGGAGTCAATCTAATAATGTGACAAAAAAAACAAGTAAAAATTGTGGTGATAATCAATACTCTATGTATGAAAACAAAATATATATAACATACATTTTCTAAATTTGTAAATGAATTTCATATATTTGAATACTAAGGAGGGGTTATTGGTTCATGAATTTATAAGGAATCAGAAATCCAAACAAAAATCATTAGTTATTCAATCATTGATTTTAAAATCTTAATTAAATTCATGTGTTATTGGTTCTATAATTTATAAATACTAGTTGAAATCATATGTTATTCGTTTAGTCATTTGTTTTTGGATTTGAGAATCCAAATTATGTTTTAAATGGATTTGAATGGAATTGAAAGAGAAAAATAGAAGGATTCAAATCCATGGGTAAACACATGTTATTTCAAAATCCATATATCTTGATTTCATAATTAATAGAAATTTTCAAATTCTATATGGATTTACAAATTAATAAACCAATAACACCCCCTAAAATCTACATATTATTCATATTACAATCTCTAAAATTTAAATGAATTTCACATTTAAACAAAAAAATATCATTACTTGGAGACGTCCCATTTAAAAGTCCCGATAAGACAAGTAGGAAAACACATCAAAATAGATTAAAAACACAGTGATCCATACTGCACTCGACATTATTTTAAACAATAAATGCGAGCGGTGAACGACTCAATGTTTTGTGGTGAAAGTAAAAACAAAAATCTCTTGTTCATTCGTAATATCTTACTTAACTTCTGAACCACAAAAATTAACCAAATAATTTCATTTGTAAAATCTCTAATTTTTACTGGTTTATGCCTCTCATCAATCTCAAGAGTCTATTTATTCGTCCGTAATTCCTATGTTCTTTTTTTTCATGACACAAGTCATGATCCCATTTAAAAAACGTTTTGGCATTTCTTTTTTCTTCTCACGTTAGCCGAGCCATCAAATTGACAAAATTTTGTTTTACTTCACGTAGTCACATTCACCCTTATTTGATGTAAATTTGTGTATTATATCTAAACTACCGTAAATAAATATTGCGAAATCTCTATAATACCAATATACCACGAAATCTGCTTATATTCACCATCGAAAATATATCTTTATTCCAATATCTACCTCAAAATCTTTCACATTTATTTTTTACAAATCATTTTCGAAATTTACAGGGCATAAAAATTGTATATTCCTAACAATATAACATATTCAAAGATATTATTGCAAAAATTAATCTTCACGTAACCTAATTCTTTTTCCTATATATACTCACTACTATACATCTATTCCTCTCACCAAACTCAAAAGCTCCTTACTGAATACCTTTAGTTCATAGCAATGGCTTCTACCTTTGTCTTCCTCAAAGAGGTGTGTCCGTACAAGACTTCTTGGAGGGTAAAAGTGAAGATCTTGCATTCCTAGCGTCAATACATTCAAAGCACTGGTGAAACTCTTGAGATTATCATCTCTGATGAAATGGTAATTGTCATATTAATCACCATTTTATAATTATGTTTTTAAATCTTCTCAAATTCTCTACTAATACACAAATTCACCTATTATTATTTGTAGGGAAAAAAATGCATGCATTCTTGAAAGGTAAATTCACTTTACTTTTATCTCTTAGCAATTTCAATATGTTTTCGAAGAGTCCCATTCAGTAACTAATATGCATTTGTTTTATATATTATCAATGTAGGTGACACAATGGCAATCAATTCAATTAAAAGGAAAAGAATGAAGCATCAATTTCATAGTGAGGATAATCAGAATCATAATTCATTTCTATTTTACTCAAACTGTGATCTTGACTTCTAAAAGTATCCTTCTGAATCAGCATTTATTTTTTATCTACAACATTCTATTACAGTTTATTAACTATGTTACTTTAATCTTCTGAGATCTTTCTAAAAAGGTATTATTTTTCTATACAGATATGTTTGAACTGGTACAGTAAAAACTCACCTGAAACTAATGTTCCTTGAATAGTCTTAAACGTAGTTCCATATTGCAGAAATGACTTTTGTTAGACCTGCGGAAATTATTGGCAATTAGCTACATATAACAGTACGTATTACCAGTCATGTATAGAAAAAAAATACTTTCTCTCTTTCCGATCCATTCTTTATTTGATTCATTTAGTTGGGATTGTTTCAACATATAGCACTTGATATAAACTAAGCACTTAGTTTTATAATTTCAACTAACATGACAAGTAAAGCATTCTTCAACAATCAAAATGTTTAAACATTGACAAATATTGATAAATTATAAGAATCTAATTGTTACTTATCTTTCAAATTGTACATTGTCTTATATTAGTTGTGACATACTCTTCATATAATCCATTTTGCAGCTCCTATATGCATTTCCTAAAAAATATGAAATAGTTAGCAACCTCTAAGACTAATCAAAACTGGATTCAATCAGAAAGAAACTCTAGATATATTATAGTCAAAAATATGGAATGTGTTTGTAAAAGTCACATACACATATTGGTAATGTCTCAATTTTATCATTGTTAAAAGCTTGGTTTAGATTTAAATGAAAAAAAAACAACTTAAGTGGTTGCAGTAAACGAGAGGTAAAAGTTCTTTTCAACCCCAACAATTTTATAACACAAACAAGTACAATTTCAACACACAAGCTTTGTATACTTAATCTACCTATCTATACATACATAAACTTTATTCTTTACCCACTAGTGTACATTACTGATTATATATCCCTAAATCAGTTTTATTTCTAAGAAATTTTAACAAACAATTTCTCGATTACACTAAGTTTAATTCTAATATTACACTAACCTAAACTATATTGAAGTCTCTTACTTTTCTTCTGACACACCGGATTGATGGAGATTAGGTGAACTGATTAGTTAGCCCATCATATCCGATAAACAAACCTACATCGCTGACTTGAAGTCGAAGAACTCCTCAGCTTGGAAACAGTAATTATCTGCAATGCTATTCAAAAAAGTATCAATTCACATGTGTACTCGATTACATGACATGCAATTTCATGAACTGGGATGGAAATCAAAACTAACAAAGATATAACTAAGTTTTTTACGTTAGCTCCATTCGAAGAATTCTTTTAATCTGGAGTTATGGCCGACTTTGTGATGAAATCTTCCATTTACATCTCTAATCAACAATAAAATTACAAGAATAAGAAAAATTCTGAGATGGATTTGTCGAGTAAAAGAGAAAAGGAAAAAAATTTAGTACTTGGGCTTCTCATGTGAAAGATATTAAAAAGGTAGATTACAAATCCAACAGACGATGGCCCGTAATTTGATAATGGATTCTTTGGATCTGATGAAGAAAAAGATTCAAACTGAAGCCTCTTCTGTTAATGATTTTTTTCTTTCTCAGCTTGAAAAAATATTGTGTCGGTTCCGACCAAATAAAAATTTTCAGTATTTTTTTTTTCTTCACTTCTTTCAGATACACAATCAATTAAAGTTAAGGACATATTTGTTTTTTTGTTTTTTTTAAAAAGGTTTTCAATTTATTGCATAAGAAAAGGAAATTTTCAAAAACCCAGCCCAGCTTTATTGTTTGATGTGGCCGAAGCCCATATCATAAGAAAGAGCATAGTCCAATAAAGACAAATTTGGTCCTCATACCTTTTTGTTTTGTTATTTGTTTTTGGTGCAAAGGATTCTTTTAATCATGTATATCCTTTTACATACATTTATATTATGTCCATTTTTATAATCGAAACTTGTAAAAATATTTTTAACACGAAAAATTAATACTCTTACATAACAATATAATAACACCAACCATTCAAATTTACATTGCACAATAATTATATAAATGTGTGCTATTCTATATATGCATACTAGGATTTAACTCGCAGTACACCGCGGGACAAAATTGTATTTTATGTATTTTATATAATAATTTATTGGATTTTTAAATTGATATTAAATAAAAAAAATCATTTAATTATTTTATATTATAATTAATATCGTCGAAATATGTGTACTTAGAAGAGTTGTAGGTGTAGAAATGATATATTGTTAATATTGGCAGACATTTATAATCATGGACTATTATAATAATTTGATATTATTTTGTATCAGAAAAATTTACCCCGCGATATATTGTGGGTCGATTTTTTTAAAATAAAATTTTTAAATTTTAAATTATATTTATTTGGTTTGTTTAGTATTTAAGATTATATTAATATATCTTTATTTTTAATTCTAGGTTTCACTCGTGGTATATCCCGTTTTGTATTCAGAATTATTTTGGTCCTTTTTATTTTATGACTCTAAACCATTGCCCAATTTTTTAAGCATTGTGGGACATTGTACACATATTTTTTCTTCATCGATTGAGTAATATATATCCGTTTTTAAAAAATTTAATTACATTATATGCAGATAAAAATTATTATTTTATTAATTATATTTATTTTATATAAATTCAAAATAAATTACTATAAGATCATATAAAAGTGAAAGAAGAATCATACATTAATGTTTAAATTAGGTAGAGATGTTTTAGGAAAATTTAGAAACAAAATCAATTTGTTACCATATTTGGAAGCTATAGCCATGAAGAAGATTGAGTTATTTTATAATATTAATTAATAGATAAACATTTCAACTTTAGGATTTATTTGCTAAGTGTACTCCAAAAATATATATATAGATGTAGCTTTTGCTTATTTAATTATGAAATAAATATAATGACTAAAATAAATTTATACTTCAATGCCATTAGAAATTTCTATAATATAAAAAACACACACAAAAAATTCATTAAAAACAAAAAATAATATAGATACGATATATCACCCACTAAAAAGTAATTACAAAACATTGTTTTATTTTTCTATATCTTAAAATCGACTACATAAAACAAAGAAATTATAATCGAAGTTTTATATAGATATATAAGATTTATTCATTTAAATATATATAATATTAGTTTATATATATTTATAGATAAATTATTAAATAATTTAAATTTCATATTTTTAAAAAATATAGCCCCGCGGTGTACTGCAGGTTAAAATCTATTTAGTCATAAAAAAAAACTTGGTTTGTAGTGTTTGGAATATGGAAAAATGCATAAGTTTTTCGGAGTAGAATGAAAAAGGTAAACTAAACGTTTCTACTCAAAGGATTACACAATTTCAGAAATTTGATAATTAGGGAAAAAACCAAAAAGAAAAGTAACCCACTGATTTTTTATTTGGACGTTTAAATCAAAAGAATTTCCATATAATGAAGAGGACAAGATTTGGAAAAAAACCTCGTTTCGCACTAAGAGTGTGAATCCTCTTAACCCAACACTCATCTTGGTTCGGTTCTGATACCACGTGTAACTCCTCGACCGCCACCCTTAATGGACCGCACGTCCTCTCTCCCCATGGGCCCATCTTTGTTCGACAGCCGGTCCGCTATATCCGGGAGGCTTTCAAGACTTGTTTACCGATCCAAAAATCACGACTTGATATTTCCTCGTGTTTTGTCCTTACTCACACGGTTCCGACAATCACTTCCCGAATGTCACTCATCATAAAATTGCTCTAGCTCAAGCACTCTTAACTGTGGAGTTTTCTCAGTACAATTGACTCAAAGATAAGTGATTTTTGGTAACATAGGTGGCCAAATCAATTCTCTTAAAGCTCTCCGCATGCACCACCATATTTCTTGAAACTAGAGCGTTACACTAATGATGTTTACCAGTGATATGAACACTTATAAAGTGATTTACATCATATTATAGTTTTCTGTTTCTTGATTTTTACAATGTGAAGAGACGTTCTCGATTTATTTTTGTGTGTATGGATCTTGATCTGATTAAGCATAATTCTCTATACTCTGCGTTTGGGTTTTGGAATGTGACAATGAGTTTTAATGATAGGTTTATGCCAGCTCTCTCACTCTCTACATTGGATGAAACAATGGTCACGGTCAATAGACTAGGTGACGTTAAAGAAGATTCTATGCCTGAGAATCTCGTCGGCACGAGAAGAGTTCGATGAAGTCGTTCATCGGAAAGGAAAAGAAGGACTACGATTCCATAGTCGGGAGAGTTTTTATTTAAAGCGTGAGACAAAGGTTCCATAAATTTTTCAAGATTTTCAAAATCTTCATGATAGCTCTGAGGGATCTGAGCTTTACAGTTGTTGATGGTTAAAGATTGCTTGAAATTAGTATCAAAAAGTGTGAGAGATAACTGGTTGATGAAGCTTCGGTGACAACAATCACATTTTTGAATAGTTTCATATGTTTAATATAATTAATTATTTTATTTCTTATAATGCAGTTAGATTCATCTATTACTATTTAACATTAAGTTATTTCGTCATAAATTCCTACTAAATTTCGCTAGATTCTGGAAATCAGAAAGGTTCTTGGTGTGTTCGACCTGTCTTACGACAACTTATCAAAAATTATTACTTAAGACAGTAATTTACCATTTTTGATGAGATGAATTGCTTAAATTTTTTTTTTGTGTGGATCACAACCAATAAAAGTTGTGATGTTAGGAAGAACTGAAGAAGATAATACAGGAGAAGAAGAAAATGATAAAGCTGGTATTTCAGGTAAAGTCTAAAAATCGCTGATTCGAGTGACACTTGAAAGAAAACTATATTAAATGTTTTGGTTTTGGGTCTGAGGATATCTACGGGTTGAAGCCCAGAACTTCTTAATAATTCAAAAATGAAAAGATGATGATGAAGTTACTATTTACATGCGGGTGTTCCATTTTAGTAATGCGTCAACTTATATCATTCCATTGATATGCATTCTTTCACTTAGTGTGCTTTGATTGTCCTTAGTGTCGAGCGTAGCTCCACATTATCGACCCTTTCATCGCCTCAGAATATGTACTATAAAATCAGCTTTTTGACAAAGATCACATCTATATCTCCAAACCAAGTATACCTACGTTTGTTATTATCTTTTATGTATTCCAAAAATTCCTTATATATTTTTTTTTTGACATCTTTGGATCGACAAGGCCCGATCCATAGCCAATCCCTACTACGCGGGGTAACGCGATTTAGTGGAGTCGAACTCCGGTGGGGAAGGCGGAGTCAAGTGGACTTAACCACTTAACCAAAAATTCCTTATATATATATATATATATGTTTGTTATTATCTTTTATGTATTCCAAAAATTCCTTAGATATATATATATTTTTTTTTTGTATGCAACTACTTGTTTTTTTTCTTCTAATTTACGTTTTTTTAATCATCCTCTATTGATTTTGTAATCTTTTTTATCATTGTAGAAACCTCTAACTCTTATGCCTTGGATTGTAAAAAGTCTATGATAATTCTTATACACTGAATTCTGTACAATGAATAACCAATCATTGTAAATTAATTATTTTTTTTATCAATCTGATGTACTTTAAATCCAATGGAAATAATTTAACTTATCCAACTAATATACTCCTTTGATTATAAAGAACACCACCAATAAGAGCACTGTAATGTGTAAGCATATGTCAAATTGTTACCTAATCTCCAAAACGATATGTCAAACTAATTAAAGTAATACATCACAGATCTCACTAAAGAACATAATACAAGTCAACTTTCGAAACTCAGATCAATCATCATCATACAATAATTTTGTTCCATGTGCTCCCTTACCACTTTCTTTTCACTCTCTCTCTCTTTTTCTTTTTGTAATAAAAAAAATTTTCATTATAAGTAGCCTTGATATATTACGCATAACATCAACTCAAACCATCCAGCAATATTTCCTTGGTTTAAAACTCTTAAACTCATTCTAAAGCCATGAAGAAGATTGAGTTAGGTCACCATAGTGAGGCGGCTAAGCCAGGCTGCATTAAAGCCCTTATTGTCGAATTCATCACCACCTTTCTCTTTGTCTTCGCGGGCGTTGGATCCGCCATGGCCACCGGTAAATTAACATTCATGCTCTTTGACGTTATAGTTTGACCATCACCATGTTAATTTCTGGTTTTATAAAGGCTTCTATTTCTTGGAAACCAAGCCGCTTAAATTGGTTCTTGAAACCGTGATGCACTTCAATTTACACCATTTTTATTTTATTCATGATCTTAGACAGTTTAGTCGGAAACACATTGGTGGGACTTTTCGCGGTCGCTGTGGCTCATGCATTAGTTGTGGCGGTAATGATATCTGCCGGCCATATCTCCGGTGGCCACCTCAACCCCGCGGTCACCCTCGGTCTACTTTTGGGTGGCCATATCAGCGTCTTCCGCGCATTCCTCTATTGGATTGATCAATTGTTGGCCTCCTCCGCAGCATGCTTCCTCCTCAGTTACCTCACCGGAGGAATGGTAAAGAATCTAATTTATTATACAAAAATTAATTCATTGTTAATCAACAACTTTTAACGCTACTAAAAATAATCCCAAGGACAGAAATATTATAAATTATGATCCAGTGACATACATTTTCACAAGATTCTATTGGTTCCATAATCAAGTCAACTTTCAATTGCTTACCATATTTTATTTTTTCGTATATAATGTTATCTCATTCAATAATACACAAGTTCTAATATATATATATATATATACTGTACATTTTTTGTTATTGATTAATATGCAATAATTTTAAATTTCTATATCTTATCGAATTGTTAAAACTTTCAATTTTATACACTTCAAGATATGATTTGTTTCTGGTATGTTTAATTTATCAAGCAGTTTGACATTTAACAATTACGCTTTGTGGTTAGGCAACTCCGGTTCACACATTGGCAATTGGAGTAAGTTACACTCAAGGGATCATATGGGAGATAATCTTAACATTCTCACTTCTCTTCACAGTCTACGCCACTATGGTGGATCCCAAGAAAGGATCCCTTGATGGACTAGGTCCACTTCTCACAGGATTCGTCGTTGGAGCCAACATCCTAGCAGGAGGTGCCTTTTCGGGTGCCTCTATGAACCCCGCCCGGTCTTTTGGTCCGGCTTTGGTCTCTGGAAATTGGACTGACCATTGGGTATATTGGGTTGGACCGTTGATTGGTGGTGGACTCGCCGGTTTCATCTACGAGAACGTCCTCATTGACCGTCCACATGTCCCAGTTGCTGACGATGAGCAACCATTATTGGATTAAATGTGTTGAATATGTGTTATGCACGTCACAGACTATCAGCTCATCGTTACTGTATTATTTGTTTTCATAAATCCTTTCTTTTGGTACTTTAATATATATGTATCTCATTTAACCTAAATCTATATATTCCAATTATGGAGTATAAAAACTTTCTGTTTACAACATATTCATTTTTAGAATTTGTTAAGTTACAAAAAATATTATGAAAAAGTTTAAAACGGCAAAAAAAATTCTCTCGCTTTTATTCGTCTAAAATTTAAGGCTGGCTCTGGTAGTGTATAGGTGCCCGACGAACTTACATACATGTGAGATCAATCGGATTAGTCTAGATTATCCATGAAGGAAAAAAAAACTCGTAAAGGTAACCCCTCGTATTCACGAAATTGCTATGGAGCAGTCTGAAACAAACCTGTTTCCTTCGTTGACTTTTACACAGCCAGGCTCGTCTCATTTCTGTAATTTGAGATTTTTCATCTTTCGAAGCTCCAAATGTTTAGAGCAAATCATACAAATATCTTCTTCTTTTTTTCTCTTCTAGACTAAAATCAGTTTTTTGTTTTTTCAAACTAAGAGGTTTGGGCCGAAGGCTCATACATTCCCTTATGTCCGAACCAGTCTTTAATAATTTACTCTGATCCTACCAACTGCCACTCGTTCATGTGGAATCATATATTATCCTAGGTACATTTCCAGTCGAGCTATTGACATATAATCTAAATTGTAACCACAAAAGCTATGTTGCGCTATTTTATATGAAAATCGTTTAAACTTTAAAGTATCTTGCCGTTTAATGTTGTGCTTAATTTTATCAACCTATATTATTTAAGGTATCTTTTATATATAAATTTAGTTGAGTGTTTTAAAATAGATTGAAAAGGCATTTTATCGTTAAATTCCCTTCTCAAACATTAAATCCAAAAGGTCATTCGAATTTTACGTCCGCTATATAGTTAGTAGGACTGGGCCGGATCCGGATATCCGGCTTTTTTAAGGTATTCGGATCAGATCCGTCCTATCCAGATATCCGGGTTTAGGAAATCCGTAAAAATACCCGGATATCCGGATTTGGGTTTTTTTATATAAAAATATTTTATTGATATAAGTGTGAAGAAAAAGATAAAAAAAAATAATTTAATATAAATAATTAAAATAATATTATTATATATAAAAAAGAAAAATTATTAATAAAATTTAAATAATAATAATAAAATATTAAAAATTTATTATAATAGAAAATATCACGGATCCGGATATCTTGTTTCCGAGCGGATCGCAGCGGATCCCGGATCCCGAATCCCGAATAAATTTTTTTTGTTTTTTTTTTTGAATATCTGGAAGTTCAAGCCCAAAGGTCCTACATCTCTCATAGACGGGACCTACACCAGATTAAATTCATGTCCTTCGGAGAAGAGATTTCTCCCAAAAGGCGTCGAACCCAGTACCTCCACCTGAAAGATTTACCACTGGACCAACACGAATAATTAATCTCAGAGCTAATAGTTTGTAAGCAATACCCCACACTACCTCTCTTATGCGAGCCCACACACACTAACTATATATATATATATATATATATATAGTAGTCATTTGGAAATAAAGAAACATAAAATGATTCGTTCATAAAAAACAATAACTTTCTTTTACTACACCGACACTCAAAATTGTCTCAATCCTTTCTTCCTAGAAACTAATTATTCTTGTTGTACACTTTGGTAGACAATTTTTGGAACATTTTGTGATCAAAACGAGGGAAAGAAGAATGGTGGATTCTCATGGTTCCGACACGGAATGTTCCTCAACCAAGAAGAGAAAGGAGAAACCCAAAGAAAAAGGGGTATATCATGGGGCTCGCATGAGGAGCTGGGGGAAATGGGTCTCGGAGATTCGGGAGCCTAGTAAGAAATCAAGAATCTGGCTCGGGACTTTCCCCACGGCGGAGATGGCAGCCCGTGCCCACGATGTTGCGGCATTGAGTATCAAAGGAAGCTCCGCAATCCTCAACTTTCCCGAGCTCGCGGATTTTCTGCCACGACCTGTCTCGCTCAGCCAACAGGACATCCAGGCTGCTGCTACCAAAGCCGCTATGATGGATTTCGAAACAGTATCATTCCATCTTCAGGATGAAACAACGCCGTTGCAAACTAGGTGTGATACTGAGAAGATCGAAAAGAGGTCATCCTCATCCTCATCCTCATCCTCGTCCTCGTCATCTATGCTCTCGGAGGAGCTAGGAGATATTGTGGAGTTGCCGAGTCTTGAAAACAATGTAAAAACCGATTTCGCGCTTTATGACTCGTTAGAGGGGCTGGTATCGATGCCCCCATGGTTAGATGTTACCGAAGAAGATTTTACGTATGGACATGATTCAGTAATGTTAGACCCACGTCTCCAAGAAAGTTTTTTGTGGAATTATGAGTAAGGTTCTGTTTTTGGAATGAAATTTACCTTTTTTTGTTTGTTTTGTTTTTTTGGACAAACATAGTAGCTTTTTGTTTTCTCATCTCTTTTTCACTTCGTGTTTTATATATATATATCTTCTACATATGTAATTTTTCCATTAGTAAACAATGATTCCGTTTTGGGTACGTAGAGGAGTTGTGTAAATAAAAAAAAGCTTGATATATAGTTATTTTTAAATATCTTGCATTTGCAATGAAAAATATATAGTTATGCTAGTGTACACCACCCTGTTTTGAAACGGCATAATGTATATTATTAATTAAAAGAAGTTCTTGACCAAAAAATAATAATAATTAAAACTAGACTTGGATGAGGTTACGTTCTTGGTAAGCTCATGGACTTGGATGAAGATTCGCTCTCACTTTTCAAGGGGAGAGAATGTGAGCAAGGGTTTGGAGTCCTTCTCCGTTGACAGCTTGGTCTCGGACCTCCTGTGAAAGGCTTCTAAAGCTTATTATCTTCTGCAACTAGGCGATCATAATTTACGCTTGCCCTTCTCTTTTTGCAGCTCTCAAAGGAAAAACAATAAAATTGTCATCGCTTCATCTAACTCCCGCAGATTCTTTGTTATGATTGAGTGGATGGACCGAAAATTGTAGTTATTTTATGCTTCCATGTTTTTATCTTTTTTGTTGAAAATCATTGATTGTAAACCTTATATGTTTTAATTTTTATGAAATATTTACATTCTTACCAAAAAAAATAATTAAAAATAGAAAGTTCTTTCCGACCATTCCTATTTTTTTTTTCAACTCGACCATTACTATTATGTTGTAAATCATTTTTTCCCTTTGTGCACTAACAAAAATTGCAACAATTCTAGAACAAGTTATTGACAAAACTAATGATAAAACCAAAACAACAAATACAGAACGAGTTTCGAAAAAAAAAAATGTGAAGTTTAGAAAAAAAAAGAAAAAAAGAAAGAAATTATAAAGTCTCTCTCGAATGAGACTAAACACGTCTAGATTGGAGAAGTAATTGGAGAAGTAAGGCTACTCAACAAGGGACTACGACATTTACACCCGCTCGGTCTAAAACTCAAGGCAATATAAACCTAATGAGAGGATGTTTGACATGGACCAAACTAGATCGTTTTCACTTCCTATGTAAAGGAGAGAAACTCCATACCCCTTTAGTATTTGACCCTTACTAATAAAGTCCGATACATCGGAGAAACTAGATCGGAAAATGAGAGAGAATTGAAGAAGATAACAAACTTTTCTTAATCATTCAAATGTTTGTTACAACAACTTAATCATCAAAAATGGGAGTGATTAAGCTTATATACATAGCTTTAAACCGAGTATTAATCTCAGCTCAGTAAACCAAAGTTAACCAATAACATTGAACCGGTTATATCCTCAATACGCCCCCCTCAAGTCTCTAGCTTCGAAGTGTCTGGTGCGGAAGAAAGAGACTTGACAAAGACATTTGACGAAGTAAGTGATGAAACGGACCCGGATGCAAAGCTTTGGTGAGTATGTCAGCATGTTGGTTCTCTGTTGGAACATGTAAAGCTTTAAGATTACCTGACTTGATCTGGTCTCTCACCGTGTGACAATCAATCTCAATGTGTTTCGTTCTTTCATGGAAGACTGGATTCATGGAGATGTGTAGAGCTGACTTATTGTCACAAAACAATTTTGCAGGACAAGTAACCCGAACATGTAGATCCTTGAGAAGTTGTTGAAGCCAGATGATCTCACATGTAGCTTGTGCCATACTTCTATATTCAGATTCTGTACTGCTTCTACTTGTAACAGCCTGCTTCTTTGACTTCCAAGAAATGAGAGATGTTCCCAAATAAACACAGAATCCTGTTATAGATCGTCTTGTATCCTTACAGGCAGCCCAATCAGCATCAGAAAAGGCATTCAAGCATATCTCAGAATCCACAGAGTACATTAATCCTTGGCCTGGATTTGTTTTAATATACCTGAGGACTTTATGAGCAGCCTGCAAATGAATATCAGATGGTGCAGAGATGAACTGACTTAGCTGATGAACTGCATAAGTGATATCAGGTCTGGTTATGGTGAGATATAACAAACGTCCAATAAGCTCTCTGTATGAAGTTGGATTAGGCAAAAGAGTTCCCATATCTTTGACCAAATGTAGAGTAGGATCCATAGGAACAGAACTTGGTTTGCATCCAGTTAAACCTGCATCTTCCAACAAATTCATTGCATACTTCCTTTGACAAACTGAGATTCCTTTGGATGATCTTGAAATCTCCAAACCAAGAAAGAATCTAGCAGGACCAAGATCTTTGATTTTAAACTCAGATCTTAACAAGGTCTTCAAATTCTCCACTGCTACATCATCATTGCTGGCTATCATAATGTCATCAACGTATACAAGAACAGCAATAATAGAACCAGAGATCACTTTAACAAATAAAGTGTTGTCTGCAGGAGATTGTATGAAGTTTGCACCCAATAAGACTGAAGAAAATCTCTTATACCATTGACGAGAAGCTTGCTTCAAGCCATAGAGAGATTTTAACAGTCTACATACCGGATTAGGAGGAAGCTTGATATGTGATGGTGGTGTATAACCTTGAGGAAGACTCATAAAAATTTCCTCATCAAGTTCCCCATGTAAGAAAGCATTTGATACATCCATCTGCGTCAAAGTCCAACCCTTAGCAGCCGCAAGACCAAGCATTAGTTTTACACTAGTAAGCTTTGCAATAGGAGAAAATGTGTCTAGAAAATCAATCCCTTCCTGTTGAGTGAACCCTTGGGCCACTAGTCTTGCCTTATAACATTCTATTGAGCCATCAGGGTTGTATTTGATAGTAAAGACCCATTTACATCCTACCACATTCTTACCCGGAGGCAATGACTCAACAACCCAAGTCTTGTTAAGTTCCATAGCCTGTAACTCTTCATCGGCAGCCTTAGTCCATTTTTCAGATTTCATAGCTTGAGTAAAAGTCTTAGGCTCTGTTTCTGTATTATAGGCTAGTATATAGGATTGAAAAAGAGGTGTGTATTTATCATATGAGATAACAGAAGAGATGGGATATGGTGTAGTCTTTTTAGGTGATGAATTATGATTTTCTGTAGGGATAGGAGAAATAAGAGAACAGGATGGTGGATTAGTGTTTGTAGATGGTAGTGAAGAAATGAAAGGGACAAGGGCACAATGATATTCAGAGAGATAAGCAGGAGCTTTAGTGTTACGTTTAGGCCTAGCAATGGGTACAGTATTAAGGCCTAAATCCTGTGTTTCTGCAGTACTAGTAGGAAGTATGGTACTAGATAATGCAGATGCGGATGATGATGCATTACTAGTATTATTATTAGTAGTAGTAGGAACCAAAGAATCCTCATCAGTCAATGGCATCGTTTCTACAAAGTGTAAAGGTGCTGGTAAAGGCAAAATTGTATTAGGAAACATGTCAACAGATTTAGACAACAAATCACTTGTTTTGAAAGGGAAAATACTTTCTTTAAAAACAACATTTCGTGAAATAGAAATAGCATGTGAGTCTAAATCTAAAACTTTGTATCCCTTATATCCAGAAGGATAGCCTAAGAAAACACAAGGTCTAGCACGCGGTGAAAACTTATTTCTTTCATGCATATTAGTAGAAACAAAACAAAGACATCCAAAGTTCTTTAACAAAGTATAATCCGGATTCTTTTTAAGCAAAAGTTCAAATGGTGATTTGTTATTTAGCAGAGGTGATGGTAATCTATTTATCAAGAAAACTGCAGTTAAAACACAATCACTCCAATATTGCATAGGAACATTTGACTGAAAAAGTAAAGCTCTTGCAACATTAAGAAGATGTTGATGCTTTCTCTCCACAACAGAGTTTTGTTGGGGAGTATAAGCACAAGAGAAGTAATGAATCATACCTTGTTCTTTTACTAAATCATTAAATCCTAATTCAGGAGCATTATCAGAACGAATAGCTTTAATCTTTGTATTAAACTGTGTAGAAACAAGTTTGACAAAAACAGGAAAGACTTTTGAAACTTCTTGTTTATTTCTTAACATATAAACCCAAGTAGTTCTTGTACAATCATCAACCAAAGTAAGAAAATATCTAAATCCTTCTATAGATTCAACACTAAAAGGACCCCATATATCCAAGTGAACAAGATCAAATGGGTTTGAAGCTAAATTGTTATGAGATATGTATGCTAGACGTTTCTGTTTTGCTAAAGGACAAATGCAACAAGGTGAAGTTTCAGAATCAAAAGATTTTAAAGAGGGAATGCTACTAACAAGTTTCTTTAAAACTATAGATGATGGATGACCTAAACGCTGATGCCAAAGAAGTCCATCATCAAGAACTGATCCAGAAAAAGAACAAGCTGCAGGTGTTGATGTGGAGAGGGAAGTAGTTTCTGTCTCAAGAATGTAAAGATTGTGATAAAGTCTACCCCTCCCAATCATCAAGCCCTGAGAAAGTTCCTGGATAAAGCAACAATTAACATAGAAATGAGCTGAACATGATAAAGTTTTTACCAAAGAACTAACACTGATCAAATTAAACTTGAAATCTGGAACATGCAAAACATTATGCAGTATGAGTTTATGAGTAATATGAATAGTACCTATATGAGTAATAGAAACCCTAGTACCATTTGGCAAAGTTACAGTCACACCAGAAACAGGCCTTAATTCCCTAAACATTGCTAAGTCTGAACATACATGACTAGAAGCTCCACTATCTATAATCCAAGCATCTTGTGGTATGAATTTTTGTAGAGATGATAGAATATGATTTTGGAAAGTAAGATGATTGTTTTCAAATTTTAAACTAGTAGAAGGAAAAGGGATTATAGTACCAGAAGTTGAAGTTTCTGCCATTAGACCATGTTTAGAGACTGTTGCCATAGCCAAAGGACTAGGATTACTTGAAGAAGCTACAGGCTCTGGAACTTGAACTTGAGCCTGGAATTGAGAAATCATCTGTTCGATTTGCTGAGGAGTAAATTCTTGTAAATTCAGATTGTTTCCACCCTGTGTAACATGAGGCATTGTATAGGAACCATAAGTACTATATGGATTAACCATTAATGCCTGATTGTATGCTTCTGATGGATAAGCTCCTGACTCTGCATATACATGTGCCACTGCATTTGCTTTCTGCATTGAATTAGCATATGGCATCATTGGCATTTGAGCTGGATACTGCATCCTTGGAGCCTGCATCATAGGCATTCTTGGTTGAACAAGCAACTGCGGATTAGTCTTGTACTGATAATTTCCATTGCCAATCTTCATTCCTGGTGGATAACCATGCAACTTATAGCATTTCTGAATTGTGTGTCCCACTTTCCCACAGTGAGTACACATAGGCTTCTGAGACGGTCTTAATGTGTTATATGCTGCAACATATGCATTATCACCTTCTGACATCATTTGAGCACTATTCTGGAAAGCCACATTGTCTATACGAGTAGGAGGTTTAACATTCTTCTGTCGTTCATCTTGAGTTACAATATTGAAAGCTTCTTCTATTGTTGGAATAGGCTTAAGCATCAAGATGTGACGTCTAGTCTGATCAAAACCTTCATTCAATCCCATAAGAAATT